TGACGGTACATGGCCCCATCCGTCGTCCCTTTGATGCGGTGAAGTTGTCCTGTCCCTTTCGCAGAAAACACCCCCAAAGCATAATGTTTCCACGTCCATGTTTGATGGTGGGGATTTTGTTCTTGGGGTCATAGGCAGCATTCCTCCTCCTCCTCCAAACACGGCGAGTTGAGTTGATGCCAAAGAGCTCCATTTTGGTCTCATCTGACCACAACACTTTCACCCAGTTGTCCTCTGAATCATTCAGATGTTCATTGGCAAACTTTAGACAGGAATGTATATGTGCTTTCTTGAGCAGGGGGACCTTGCGGGTGCTGCAGGATTTCAGTCCTTCACGGCGTAGTGTGTTACCAATTGTTTTCTTGGTGACTGGTCCCAGCTGCCTTGAGATCATTGACAAGTTCTTCCCGTGTAGTTCTGGGCTGATTTCTCACCGTTCTCATGATCATTGCAACTCCACGAGGTGAGATCTTGCATGGAGCCCCAGGCCGAGGGAGATTGACAGTTCTTTTGTGTTCTTCCATTTGCGAATAATCGCACCAACTGTTGTCACCTTCTCACCAAGCTGCTTGGCAATGGTCTTGTAGCCCATTCCAGCCTTGTATAGGTCTACAATCTTGTCCCTGACATCCTTGGAGAGCTCTTTGGTCTTGGCCATGGTGGAGAGTTTGGAATCTGATTGCTTGATTGCTTCTGTGGACAGGTGTATTTTATACAGGTAACAAGCTGAGATTAGGAGCACTCCCTTTAAGCGTGTGCTCCTAATCTCAGCTCGTTCCCTGTGTTGAGGTGCAACTGAGGACACTGATACAGTTCTTTAGTAGGGGCTGATGCCAAGGTTTATTAAGGGCTACTGCCGGTAAATTATTAAAAGCTTATGCCTAACAGGTGACAACCCTAATATCTCCCCAGGGGAAAGGGTTGTTGTTTATATAGGCCTTTTTCCAAAATTGATAATAATAAAATTTGCCGATATATTTATTTTTAAATAGTAACCGGAATAAATAAATAAACAGCCGCTACCTCATCCCAGAAGCCAGCAGCTGGAGGTCGTAAAAAGGCCAATAAAAATATATAATAAATTCCGGGGCCCTCCCCTCAAGCACCAGGCCGCCAGGAGATTAACAATAAAGCTATAAACCCCCAAAAAAATCGAAAGAGGGAAAGGGGAAGGGAAATTACTCATGGAGCCCGAGGGGGAATTCCAGGCTTCAGGGACCCCCCCCCCTCCGTCAGCCTGCGGACAGTGTGACGCCACACACACGAGAGATTTAAACATATTACCCTTCTTTGCTATTAATACGACGATCAAAGTTCAGAACTTAGTAGATAGGTCGACATCTTGTATGTATGCGGACAGGGAGCAAAAGAATGCAACCCTTGGAATATCGGAGGTAACGTCTAATGATGAACTGTTAAATCACAAATCTTGGGGACAGAAACAAATAATAATGATGATGCAGTGTTACATCAAGGGTTATCGAGAAGGAATGCGGCGGAATGGGTCGGACTTACACAGCCAAGATAGACTGTGTTCCATAGGAAGGAGCCTCCCGGCCGTCTTTGTCTTCCCGCAGCGCGGGAGAGCCAAAATGTAACACCAGAGCGAAGGAAATGACTCTTTATCGCGGGGGCCATCTGTGCACATGGATGCGCTGAACTTGATGATACACACACGGACTACACCCCCCCCCCCCCACAACGCAGAGGCGAGCATCTGTTTTTTTCCTCTCGCAAGAGACGCGCAGAGGGGGTGGAGATTTTTTCGGATCAAACGGCAGCACGACACACACAATAGCGCTCTCGACAGTTCAACAAGACGGCAGCTCGGCGAGCGCCAGAAGAGGGCGGCGAGCGGCAGGCTCCAAGGGGCCCCGCGATCAACCGAAGATGGCGAAGCTCGCCGAGTGGCGATGTATCAACGAGCGCGAGTTCAGAGCTGGAAGACGAAGTATCGCTCAAAGACTTTTATTTCTACATCGGGTGCCAGCTCCCAGCTGCAGCGCAACCAGCGCCACCAAGCAAGAGTGCCAGCTGGCAGCACCAAGCGTTGCGCCGACTTGGCTCATCCAGCTGCGGAAAGAGCCTGACCAGCCGCCCGTGAGCAAAGAGTCGGCGGACCAGCGAAGAGCGCGTTCGAGCATCTCCGCAGAGAGAGCGCGTGCGGCGCAGTCCTCCAACAGCGGAGAGAGACTGTATCTGCCTGCACGAGCAGCCAAGCCGACGCCCCGAGCAAGAGAACGAAGCAGTTTGTATAATCCTCCCCCACACTCTCACCCTCACGACGCATCACCCGGCATCTGCTTCACGAAGACACACAACACGCATATCGGGACAATCAAGAAGAGTGACATTCCAAGGTGGTGCATTAAATATCAACGGATCGTGAAGAACATTGCTGCCCATTGAGTTATGTGGATACGGTCACTTAGAAGTATCTCGGGACAATCAAGAAGAGTGACATTCCAAGGTGGTGCATTAAATATCAACGGATCGTGAAGAACATTGCTGCCCATTGAGTTATGTGGATACGGTCACTTAGAAGTATCTCAGTCGTTCGTTTTTTTGTTCTCTTTTTAATGGCATAATCTTGCCGATGAATCCATTGACGTATACTTTTGCCTTTGGGGAATGATAATTGTTTTGACTGCCTTTTCCTATGAATATCGTCGCATAATTTTAAGGACCTCTTATTCCTATTTTGCCATATATGTTCGTGGTACCCAGAGGAAGTAATCAATTGTTCCGTTACCCAATTAACAACGTGATTATTGAGGGTTGAAGAGATGGATCAATGAAATGAACATCACCTGTAGTACTGTGACAATAAGTATAATAATTCATATTATAGTGTTAAGGTTTTGTTTAGAATAGCGTGCATGCATGTTTTAACTACTCTCCCTATCACCAATTGAGCTCTCGTTACGCAGGGAATTAATCATATATGCAGTTGCCAAAGTGAAACAACGCAATCATTGATAGTTACTGTGTTGGTACTGTGATAATTCCAAGCCTGAGAGTTTGCATATTATTAAGTTAAGGTTTCGTTTAGAATAAAATTGCTTAACACAGAAGTGTTTGCGTATTTCTTTCCTGAGTTCATGCATAATCTTATTTATGAGAACTGTATTCTGCGTTGAGATCTGAATTTGGAGACCTGACAAACACACTAATACCCTCAGTAAATGTTAAAGCGAGAATAATTGTATTGACGAGCGTTAATACAAAGTTAAACAACGAAGCGAGTTACTCTGGCATGCTTGCATTACACCTGCTTAACTTCATACGATTAATTGTATGATCCCGATTGATAATCCGACCCTCGTCAGCGAGGCGGGGCCTAATTATCATGGGTTGCATAAGCATAATCACACCCACTCACATAAAAGAATACGATTATCTCTCAAATTAGCATAATTTATGTGCATAATTACGTTAACCTAATTTCGGATAATTACGCAAATTCCAAATTTCATTTAATATTTATTATTTTCATCAAAATTTTCACAACCAACATGCACAACAGGGTACTGGGAGGTCCCTAGCTCCACCCAGGCTATACGTGATCTCCCCCCCCCCCCAGCACCGACCGAGGGATCATCCAACTCGGTCGGCCGGGTGAAGTATCACTCTAGCCTGGCGCTAATTCCCCCTACCCTCGACCCCGACTCCCTAACTCTCCCCGTTCCTGGCCCTTTGCGACGACCCTCTCTACGTCACGGGTTCCCCCTTATATATCCCCTGTAACCTCTGACGTCATCCCTTTTCACCCCCCTGAGTGACATGACGTCCTCCACTACTCTACACCTGTATTAAAGACACCTGGGAGCCAGAAATCTTTCTGATTGAGAGGGGGTCAAATACTTATTTCCCTCATTAAAATGCAAATCAATTTATAACATTTTTGACATGCGTTTTTCTGGATTTTCTTGTTATTCTGTCTCTCACTGTTCAAATAAACCTACCATTAAAATTATAGACTGATCATTTCTTTGTCAGTGGGCTAACGTACAAAATCAGCAGGAGATAAAATATTTTTTTCCCTCGCTGTACACACACACACACACATGTAATATAGCTCTCAGAGACACCGTCTTGTTCTGTTATGTATATTTATCGTGAATAAAGCCCACCGACTCGCTGATAACTTAACGAGTAACCGCGAGTGACTATATACACTTGGGTAACTTCCGTGACTCTACGCTACGCTCCCTATGTAGCTGGCCGGCTAGACAGGAGTGGACGCGTCGTAGTCACGGAGACAATATAACTCTAGCCTTCCAAGACTACAAGGTGCCCAATCCAAGTTGATGAAGATGACCCGCTCCAAAATGACGACAGTTCCTCGGTTCCCCCACAAGAGCAGCAGCCCAGAGCCCCGTTCCATGCCGGCTTTTATCTTCCTCACGACCCGGCCACTCCCCCTTTTCATCCGAACACACTCTCACTGCACCTGGCCCTGTCTGTCTCAATTACTATTTACGACCACTTAGGTCCCGTGCACAGCGACCCTGTCGGACCACTTAGGTTCCCATAGCACCCTTACGTGACCCTGCCTGTTCCCGGCACGTTAATTAGTAACCATGGTCACGGGGAGCCGTACTGTCCTTACACATGCACAAAACAAAGACCCTCATTGCCTTTAACACATCTTTGGTGCAAGGGTTGTTTGCGAGCACATAGGAAGGCTGCAACAGCACACGAGGGGGTGGCCACTGCCACGCCCGACCGCCATTGTCTCCCCGGTGGTGATGTATACACACCACACTCGGTACTCATTTGAGGCCGAGTCAACAAAGGGGAAGGCCCAGGACCAGATATTCGCTCCCCCGTTATTTGTTGTTAGCAAGAATGGAACTCGGTTCGCCGGGTGCGCAGTGCAGCGGGCTAATAGTGACACCACCGCTCTCCAAACAGCACAAACACACAGACGTTTCAATCTGTCGGCTACTTGAAATTACTGAATCGTCACCACCCCTCCCCACCATCCCCAACCTCAGACTGGCAGGGGCCCCCGCCCGCCCGTGGCTGCGAGGTGTTTCTGGGGAAGATCCCGCGCGACCTCTACGAGGACGAGCTGGTGCCCGTGCTGGAGACGGTGGGGAAGCTCTACCTGCTCCGCCTCATGATGGAGTTCAGCGGAGAGAACCGCGGCTATGCGTTCGCCACCTACACGACGCGCACCCACGCCGAGGACGCCATCAAGAAGCTCAACAACTTTGAGATCCGGCCCGGATGCGCCATAGGAGTCTGCATCAGCGTGGACAATTGCCGCCTCTACATTGGGGGGCTGCCAAAGGTACGGCGTGGCCGGGAGAGCTAATCTCTCCCACAGCACTCCTATAATAATTATAACCTACAATATAAAACAAGTTTAGTGACACTATTGTCGCGCCGGGTACTGGAGGGACACGTGGCCGGGGGCCGAGAGCCCCGACAGGGATCGGGGTTCGTTGTGGGGATCAGCCTGGGATCCCGCGTCTGTTCGTCCTCGCTTTTTGCTCCTCGTTCGTCAGAAGTTGTAGCTTGAGATCGTGGGTCAGACGGCGTGTGTGCTGGTTGGCCGTTCGCTACAGTAACCCGCACATAGTGAACAGTATCGCCACACCGAGCTATAGAACCCGAAGTGGTTAGAGCTGTGTAAATAAACGTGTTGCCTCCACCTATGGTGTGTGTGACTCGGTGCTATGTACACTACGCTGGTAACGAATTGGCCACGTTCTGTTTACGTGACAAACCTTACTAATTGGCTGTCGGGTGATGGTGAGTTTTAACGACATATAGTTCCGCGATCTGACCCCCCAAAAAACCCTATATCTTACCCATAAACGTAATTTTTCGTCTCTCTGTCTTGTCTGCGCACGCCTATCCTTGTGACGCTTTTAATTGACAAACTGTTGGGTTTATTTTGATTTAAAGCTTTCGTGACTGCAGTGATTCATATTCTTGTTTTTTTTCGGTAAAGTCACGTTGAAGGGAAACAAAATAATAAAATATATAAAACGTGACTTTTCCGAAAGAAGCAAGAATGTTGGATTTATGTTTTAACAATGTACACCGATACAACAAACTAACCCCCCGGACGAAAAGTGGCTTTGTTTTTGCCCTTGGTATAATGTAAACTAAGATAATCACACTTTGTAACAATGTACACTGATTCATCTTCTTTGGTTATTTCGGTAAAGTCACGTAGAATGAGAATAAAATAATAAATTGATAAAATAAAATAACACAATAATATTCTCACGACGTTTCGGCCACAACACAAGCGGCCTTCATCAGGTGAAGGGGCGAGACTGTCTGGTAGGACAGCGCTGGAGTGAAAGAGCCACGTTGTCCTACCAGACAGTCTCGCCCCTTCACCTGATGAAGGCCGCTTGTGTTGTGGCCGAAACGTCGTGAGAATATTATTGTGTTATTTTATTTTATCAATTTATTATTGTATTCTCATTCTACGTGACTTTACCGAAAGAACCAAAGAAGATGAATCATTGCAGTCACGAAAGCTTTAAATCGAAATTTAATGTACACTGATTGCAATGATAACTTTGAACGCCAAAGCACGCATCTGCGCATACCGGAACGCTGATAAAATGAGCACCAATTTGTGGAAATCCACCGTTGTTTTTTTCCTCCAGCAGGGATGGGGGAGCCCACGGCCCAGAGGCTGGACATGGCCCACGGCTCAGTCCCACGGCCTGTGGCTACGTGAGGCCTACTGCTTGGAAATGGGTCGCTAACAATATTTATATCTGTCACTGCAAGCATCTTGGTGGCACTAATCGGGCACGAAAGAGGGCTTTTTTTATCTTAGCAATAATTTTTGGGCAATACTGTCTTTCAAGTATTTCTCACAGTGCGTACAGTCCATGCGTGATTAATATTTCATGTCAACTAATGTGTGGTTGCCTACTGTCGGTTTTTCAAAATCCTATTTGGCCTTTGGTAAGAAAAAGGTTCCCCACCCTTGACCTCGAGGGAAACTGGCACCCGGCATGGGAACGTGGAGTGTGAACATCAGAGCTGGGACACCTTTGGTGAAATGCACCGCCTCATTGCTCGGATAAGCGGCGAGCCGGGCACTCACTTTGACTGTTGATTACTCACGTGCATGTAAACTCCCTTTGTGAGTCCACTGCTGGATGAGGGCCTCGCCACGCTGAGCGGATAGTGGGGGTTGTTTGACCATACTTCACCACGGTGGTGTGTGCGAGTTTAAGGCGAGGAGCGTTGATCCGGGAGTCCCTTAGCACAGTGCAACATTGGATTTCTCTGCTGGGTTCACCACCACGTAGTACAGTTCCACAGCTGCCTATGGCAGCCTGGCACGCATGCTGGTCGCCCATCCAAGCGCTACCCAGCCTCCACCCAGCTTAGCTTCCAAGATCCGACGAGTTCAGGCACATTCCGTGTGATTAGGTCGCAGGCCGCCCTCGACCGCGGGACGGTGAACGAGTGCTGGTGCCTTAGCATCGCGTCTCCTCCCCGTGCAGGACAAGACGCAAGAGGAGGTGATGTTGGCGATGAGTTGCGCCACGATGGGCGTTGTGGACGTCAAGATGAGCGTCTGTCCCACCGACAAAACCCGCAACCGAGGCTACGCGTTCGTCGAGTACGAGAGCCATCGCGCGGCCGCTATGGCCCGGAGGAAGCTCGTTCCAGGTCCGGTGGGGGTCACTCCTCTGCGTGGGTTTGTGTGGGGAGTGGCAGTGTAGTGGTTAGCACGCTGCGCTATGAACATGGCAACCCGGGTTCGTTTCCCGTTCACAGTCAACAGTAGTGACGATTATCTGAACCGGTGCGGTGTGTAAACATCGCCACTGGGGAGACAAAGACGGTCGGGCGTGGTGCTGGCCACCCACCCCCTCGTGTGCCGTGCCGACCTTCATAGGTGCTACTCGCTAACAGCGCTTGCCCCAACAGTCTGTTAAGGCTCTATGGGGGATCTTTGTTTTGCCCGCGCGCGCAGGTGCACAAATGTTGTTTTTTCCGCGCCAGTGTGTTTGCATGGGTGTGTTGCGCGCATATCATAGCTCGGCGGATATGGTGTCCAAGCTGACGGCGGTGTATGACAAAGGTGGGTAAATTAATTTCTGGCATTTCTGGAAAAGGTAATTTTCCCGCCGTTGACTAATCAGGAAGGGCACCAAGCCTATAGGCACGGTCTAGATGCGGCCAGATTCACACTTACAGATTTACCGTGGGAGATGGCCACTTCCTGTACGGCGTAATCCCATTCGGATCGGCACCGGCCCCGGTGGCTTTGTGGTGATCATGGTATTGATGGCCCAAGAGTCGGTATCTTCACAGCAGATGGGAGTCATGGCCCTGCCGCTCACGACTTGTGTGCGCGCTCGTGATGACTTAGGTTATAAGCCATAGTATGCGTATAAATGTACTGACACCTCACCACCACGCTTACAAGCCCCCTTGATTATTTTGTTCAGAAGAAGAGCCAATGCCTGTTGTCTAGCATTTTCCTGCCCCGAGTAGAGGACTGTCCACTCTTCACCGGATCTCCTGAATATCAGAGATCCAGGCAGTACCGGTCCAGCTCCTGGCAGAGAAGTGGCAGCCTCTCCTTCATAGTGACCGTTCGAACATTCCACATTGCCCCTCACACTGGCTTGTTGCTGTTTCTGGAGGAGCCCTAAGGATGCGGGTTCAGTCTCCTGGCTCTGCCAAATGGTGTTTGGCCAAAAGACGTCGGAGACGCTTGTCCCCCCGTAATTAAATTGAAGGTGGAAGGGTCACCAGCCCTCGCACCCGTCCAGAGACCCGTTCGTTGCTGTGGCGGCTCTGAGTGCCAAGAGGGGAACAGCCCTAATGGAATTACAGCCACCGCAGCATTACTGAACCGCAACCATCGAAGTGGGGGTTTTGCCGTTTGCGCCCCCACCGAAGATGAACATCAGTGGAGGGATGCATGCAAGGCCGATGAGTAAGATGCCTTTTATGACTTCCTGTTAGAGGTGGTAACTAAAGTGGCCCCTCGGGATAGTCATCCTGTTGGGTGACTTTATTGCCCGAGTGGGTCATGACACAGGCACCTGGGCTGGAATTATTGGAAGGCATGAGCAGATCAGCTTCAAAATAAAGGCTTCTAGACTTCCATGCAGCCCATATGGTCTTGTAATCACCAACACGCCAGCGGCGCATCCACTCAACATCATGGATACATGCCTGGTCCAAGCAAGACCATTTGCTGGACTATTTCGTGACGGAACAGCAGATGCGGGTCCATGTCCTTGACAACAGGACCTACCGTGGAGCTGATCTGCCCACTGACCATCTTGTCCATCTGTAAGATGCGCTTGCCTTTCTTCCACTGCAGTTGTGTGTGCCACCTAGGACCACATTGAAACCCACCGTGGCCTGATCTTAGCTAGCTGATGAAAATTGCAAGTGAGTGTCATCATCAGGAGATGGGCGAGGTTCATGACTGTGGCTCATGCAGCTGCAATGGCTGCATTGTGTACGTGGTCCAGACCTCCCCAGAGACCCTGGCTGACAGAGGACATTTTCCGGTTAGCTGAGAAAAGGCGACAGGCCCATTCCCACTTCTACAGCATCCCACGTCGGAGAATGAGGAGACTTACTGCAGCCTTTGCTCAGAAGTTCGGAGAGCAGTGCAGCACTGCGAAGATGAGTGGTGGGTGGCAGGTTGCTGAGGAGATAGAATCTTTCTCGGTAGCTCATGATCACAAATTACTATTTAAATCCATCAACAACGTAACTTGCAGCGCCGCACCTATCACCATCCTTGGGGGGAAAGAATGGTTATCCCACAGCCCAGATAACATCATGAGGCAACGTGGGGATGACCCCCAGATATTGGAAGTAGCCACCCCTGTGAGTGGTTGGCTGAGTTGCCATCTGTTGAGGAAGTACTGAAGGCAATTCAGAGTCTGAGACCAGGAATAGCACCGGGCAGAGATGATCTCCCAAGCGAAATGCTGAGGGAGGGTGGCGTTTGTGCAGACTGCCCTACAGGACATCATAACAACAGTCTGGGCCACTAGAAGAGTTGCCCAGGGACCGCACAGACTGCAACAACTACAGGGGAATCACACTCCTCCGTGTGCTGGAAAAGGTCCTGGCAATGATTATTCAAGATCGCCTTGCCAGGCACACTGAGGAGCCCCAATGTGGTTTCAGGAAAGGACGGTCATCCACAGACGCCATATTCTCTGCCTGTCTGCTACATTAGAGGTACAGGGAATTCCAACAGGACCTACATCTTTGCTTTATGACCTGGTAAAGGCCTATGAGATCAATAGCCCAGGCCTATAGGTTATTTTTGGTGCTTTTGGATTCCCTGACTCTCTGCTCACAATCACTAAATGCCTTAATGATGGTATGCAGGACCGGGTAAAGCTATGTGGCCGGGAGTCAAAGCCATTCCCTGTTCACCTTGGTGTGCGACAAGGATGTCCTCTGGCTACTACATTATTTAACATCTTTTTTGACCATGGAGTTTGAGAAGTTTTCCATGGCTATACCGGAGGAATTTCCATCTGGTACAGATACCAATAGGTGGCTGATCGATGCCAGTGTGTGTATGCTGATGATCTGGTGATTGCTGCTCACTCAGAGAAGGAGTTTGAGGCTCTGATGCTGAACCTGGAACATGCTACCAAGAGACTGGAGCTTACCATCAGCCCCATCCAAACTAAGTACTTGCCTGGGTATTTGGTGTGATCAAACACTCCACCCCTTCAACTCCTCATTGGTAATGGGGCAGTTGTGGAGAGAGTGGAGAGGTTTCCATACCTGGGTAGGGTGCTTATGACCAGCTCTGGTTTTACAGCAGAGGTCTCACTTGGAATCAGTCGGGCAACATCTTTTCATCAGCTGCATAATGCTGTGTGGAAGCTACCTCGTCTGTCGCTCCACATGACTCTTCAGGTCTTCTCGGCTACAGTCATGCTCTCCCTTCTCTATGCTTGCGAAAGGTTGACTACCTCTGGCCTGGCTGAAATCCATCCTGGGTTTAACAGGCTGGATTGTGTGAGCTCACAATTCCTTAAGTCCTGGTCACAGTCCCATCGGTGAGCTCTTCCGGCAGGCAAGGTTCGATTGGCTGAGGCATGTAGCCCGCATGTACAGCGACCACGTGCATAAACAGCTTTTGTTTGGATGACTAGAGGGGGCTAAATGTGCATAGTTTGGGCATGAGAAGAGATGGACTGATGTGGTACAGAAATATATGGAGCTGAGTGCACTTGCCGATGACTGGTTCCAGTGGTGTCAAGATCGGCTCCTGTGGAGGAGACTCGTGAAGGATGCCGCTACTGGACAGTTGGAGGAAGTCGCTCTCCAACAACAGCGAAGGGCAGAGGAGCGACACCTACAAAAATGAGCGGAGCATCGGGCGGCTAAAATACAGCAAGTTGACAGGGGGCAAAGGTTGTGCCTATCTGCCAGTCATCTCAGTCAGTCAACTCATGGCATTTAGGTCTTTCCCGTGACGTGCCAGCGTGCCTTCGACACTTCACGTGGCCTAAGAGAGCAAATGGCCTCGCACAAGCACCATGGTGACATCACCACCACTGACAGTTGTTACTCAGGCTTACCCTGAATTCTGGCTTCCAGAGGTTTCCTGTATTCTAGTGCTGCTGGATGAAGGCCTGCCCCTGCTGTGCAGGCTGAGGGTTATTTGACCACACCACATCACGCTGGTTCAGTGCAGGTCGGTACGTGACAAGAGGTCAATTAAAGGGATCTCAGCAATAGTTCTGCGGTGGTATCTCATTACGGGCGCCGCTCCGTAGCACGGGGCGGGGCGCTCTGCTCCACGGGAGTTCCCAATGGATTCTGGTGACGCGGCGCCGGTAAGCACAATCGCAACACGGTAGCACGTCTCCGTTGTGCGCAATCCCCCGTTGTGCGTGATCCTCTCCATAGAAACTTTCGAGCTGTGGGGCCATACCATAAAGGTGGACTGGGCCGACCCCAAGCGGGACACGGCGGTGGTGGCGGCAACGGAAAAGGAGGCGTCGACGCCGGGCTCGCGCCGGGGCCGCGTGCCGCCGCCGCCGCGTCGCCTGCCCGACGGGGCCCCCGACGTGGCGCCGGGAGGCGCCGTGGTGGAGGCGACGGCGCCGGAGCCGCTGCAGCCGGAGCGCGCGGGCGCCGGCGATGCCGCGCTGCTGCACTTCGGCTTGCGGGGGGACGCGGCCGCGGCCCTGCGTACGCTGCGCGGGGCCGCCCTGCTCGGGGCGCAGGTGAGGGCGGCCGCCGCGGAGCCGCGAGGCAGCGGTTCTGCGCGCGGTCGGCGGCGACTGGCCCGAGACGATATTTTTTTTTAGAAAACAGCACAAGCGGGTGAGTGAAAGTAACAGCAGTTAAATCTTTAAGTGGTTCATCACGTCCTTGCAATGATTGCTCAATTTGAATTCATCTTCCCGATTAAAGTTTTGTCTGCGTTTGTACATCTGGATGGCTTCATGAACACATTTGATGGTAGCCCGAGGATTTGCACAGAACCTTGGTCTCGTGCTGTTTTCTCAAAAATACGCGTTTACTAATTCCAGACTAAACTTGATTTGAAGTTTTCGTGACTGCGGGAATTTCTCTTTGGTTCTTTCGGTAAAGTCACGTGACTTTGCCGAAAGAACCAGAGGGTAATTCAAGACGAGATTTAAATCTGACGTGCTAGTTCCTCCAGCCCCCACCCGTCCCCTGCACACCACAAACCCTCCCACCTCTCCCCCGTGAACTCCTGCAGCCACGACTCTACAAATCCCCCCCTCCCCCCTCCCGTATATATAAAGCCAGAACAGCAGATCATTATTTCTCATCTGATGACAGACGCTTGTTTTTTCTACCCACGTGACTTTACCGAAAGAACCAGAGAGTATGGATTCCTGCAATCACGAAGACTTCAAATCAAGATTGAAAATAACCTTAACAAACATTTATTGTAAATTTAACGTAACTTTTACAAACATGAAGTTAAAAATTCGTGCGTCACATTTCCTCTTCTCAGACGTAGCGAAAGGCTAAATCTTTTTTTATTTGAAGAATATTTACAAAGAAGTGAAGAGCACCGAGGAAGAGACACCGCTGCGTGCATTCTCGCTACAGCTGCAGACTGTAGGGCTATACTCTACATGCGGCACTACAGCAAAGCAGCGCTTTGCCCTTGACATGCGCAGACTCGTCGCTAATCGACACGGAGTCGGTCGCGTTCGCTCGGCGGTCGTAGATACGCATTTTGGTCGTTACTGCGGGGGTCTTACTGACGATAAGAGAGGCCATAAAAGCAGGGGGGGTCACAAGTCGAGCCGTTGTAAGTTGGGGGTCACCTGCACGAGCTCGATGCTCTGACCTCTGACCTCTGCGAGTATTACCGACGGAAATTTCCTGGTGCCACGAGCACAATTGTACTGTAAATGGTGAGAACATTTTAATTACCACACAAAGTGCCACCTCTTTCCGGTTGGAAATCATTCTTCGTACGACACGGTTCATAGCAGGACACTTTTTTTACAACGCGGTCACAGGGTCAGAAGCAGCGTTGATTTTGTTCACGAAATTAGTGATGGAAATATTTGCCGATTACCTGTTTTTTATTTATGTTAGTCACATAACCGAGTGATGATGACATCGAGCGACCACCGATCAGCGTTCGGTGCACAGTTGCGACGAGGTGACGTCACCGCTCTGAATGAAGGGGCACACCAAGGTGATCTGGCCGATTACCTGTTTTTTATTTATGTTAGTCACATAACCGAGTGATGATGACATCGAGCGACCACCGATCAGCGTTCGGTGCACAGTTGCGACGAGGTGACGTCACCGCTCTGAATGAAGGGGCACACCAAGGTGATCTGGTCTCGTTATGAGGCACTGCGGTGCACTGAGGAAGACAGAAAGACGGTAATTGTCTGGGTACGAACGGAATCGGATGAATCGGTGGCTGACCTGATAATACTGGGGGAGGGGAAATGGTGGCGCCTGTCACACCAACATTTAATAACTAAGAGTGGACCAATGTTGGACTCCTTCAACAATAATAACAATGCAAATTATAAACAAAGTTGCTGACCACGGCCTCAAAGACCCGAAACATCGGGCAGCCAGCAACAAGCAGCCCTATCGGAGTTGTAATAGTTGAGCAACAGCTGCCACGGTTAATCGCAAACTAGAGGTGGACAAACGATTTGTACCGAGGCCCGGATTGAATGAAGAGCCACGGAACGCAAACATTTATTGAGTTAGTGTGTTCAGAAGATGTGTACTAATCTACATTACGCACTCTACACATGCTGCCATTATAACATGTAAACTACCTGCAACAGAGATGTGATGAGAGGCTAGACATAGAGATGTAGTGAGAGTAGACGAGAGAGAGAGAGAGATATCGTGCGATGAGAGAGATAGCAAATAGATGGGGATGTATTGAGATGAGAGAAGACAGCCAAGGGCGCAATGGAAGTGATGTGAGAAGAGCGACTGAGAGGAGGATGTGGTGTGAGACAAGACGAGAGAGATGTAGACGTGAGGTCGGAGATGTCACTGAGAGCCAAGAAACGTAGAGAACACCGACGCATCCTCTGTTGCTTACCCACACCACACCAACACCGCTTTGGCCGCACGAGGCCCCTGAGCCAGCGGCCTCATCACCGAGCGACGCTCGGAAACTCGAACCATCGGCTCTGGCTGCCCGTGGGACCGGTGCCGCTCGTGCTGCAGGTACTGAGACGCTGGGTGTGTGTGTGCTGAGACTCTGGGTGTGTGGGTACTGAGACACTGGGGGTGTGTGTGCTGAGACTGGGTGTGTGGGTGCTGAGACACTGGGGGTGTGTGGGTACTGAGACACTGGGGGTGTGGGTGCTGAGACACTGGGGGTGTTGGTGCCGAGACGCTGAGTGTGTTGGTGCTGAGACGCTGGGTGTGTGGGTGCTGAAACTCTGGGTGTGTTGGTGCTGAGACGCTGGGTGTGTGGGTGCTGAGACTCTGGGTGTGTGGGTACTGAGACACTGGGTGTGTGGGTACTGAGACACTGGGTGTGTGGGTACTGAGACACTGGGTGTGTGGGTACTGAGACGCTGGGTGTGTGGGTGCCGAGACGCTGGTGTTGTATATGCCGGGTATGGAAATTTGAAAATAATAAAAATTAAATGAAATTTTAAAAAATAAGTAATTATCTGAAATTATGTCAATTTATGTAAATATGCGCATAGATTGTGCTCGTTTGAGAGATAATCGTATTAAATTTATGCGCATGTGTGCGATTATGCCAATGAGGGCAGTTATGATAATTAGGCTTAGCTTCGTTGCCCAGGGTCGTATCATCAATCGGGATAAGACAATTAATTGTATGAAGTTATGCAGGTGTGCTGTAAGTACGCCAGGTTAAACTCGGCTTCATTGTCTAGGTTCGTATTATCGATCGGTATAATACAAATTATTCTCGCTTTAACATTTACTGATTATGTATTAGTGTGTTATGTCAGGTCTCCAAATTCAAATCTCACCGCAGGATACAGTTCTTATAATTAAGATTATTACGCATGAACTCAGGAAAGAAACACTCAAACACTTCTGTGTTAAGCAATTTCAATTTCTAAACAAAACCTTAACACTCTAATATGCAAATTCTTATGCTTGAAATTGTCAACACAGGACTCCAGGAGATGTTCCCCTCATTGATCCATACATTTAACCCTCAATGATCACGTTTGTTAACTGGGTACCAGAACAATTGATTACTTCCTCAGAGCAACACGAGCATATATGGCGATAGGAACCAAAATCCTTAAAAATTCATGCAACGATATTCATACGAAGGCAATAAAGAAACATGTCCTGAAGGCAAAGTATACGGTAATTAATTCATGAGCAAGATAACGTAATTGCAATATGTCTTGGAACAAGGGTGTGTGGCAGTACGCCTGCTTCAACAAATACTCATCGATTGACTAAGGCTTCATGGATTCATACATTTAACCCTCAATGATCACGTTTGTCAATTGGGTAACAGAACAAATGATTACTTCAGAGTAACACGAGCATATACGACAAATCAGAATAAAAGTCCTTAAATGCATGCGACGATATTCAGACGAAAGTCAATAAAAGCAATTATTATACCCCAAAGGCAAAAGTATATGTCAATAGATTCATCGGCAAGATTATATAATTAACTAAATGTCTTGGAATAAGGGTGTGCGACGGAGTGCGTGTCCTCCTACGGGAGATTCTTATCTTTGGCTAAGTTTTAATTCATTCGTGGACAAGATTATATGATAAAGAAACAGGTTTACACGATATTCTCTCTGTGAGCGTGTAGAATCGTGACGAAGGTTTCAAAAGTTTAGTTTATATCGATGAAGTAAAATCACATAAAACAAAATAAGAAAAATATTGTATTTATAAACGACGTATTTTTATCACTCGATGAGCTGCGATGCCTTCACGGCCAGCTGATGGTTCATGCACTTTTATAATTAGTCTTAATATTGTATGGGTGCGGTGGATTGTCTCTTTGGTAAATTCTTGTGCGAGCAGTCGCCGGGAGCGTCGTGGGTTTGTGAGGGTGGGGGAGGGTATATGAACGACAGCTGGTTCCCACTCTCTAGCTCGGCGTGTCTGACGCCGGCCGACGGTTCTCTCCCCCGCCGGATGATGAGTTGCGTCAACACGATGCTCGTCCTGAGATGCTTGGTCGCTCGTCCGCTGGCAGCTGACACCCTTGGTGGTGCTGGTGCCGCTGCCGCGTGCTCTCTCCTGCTCCGGCTCTCTGGCGATGAACGATGCTTTCGTTCGTTGATAGCAGGCTTGGTCGACGTTTGGCGCTTTCCGCCCTTTCTCGGGGTTGATTGCTTAACGCTGAGAATAATTTTCAGCGATACTCTGTCGGTCCATGCCGAACTCAGCACAGAGCATCACCTCGCCCCTCTTCTCTGCGATGCACCACACGCGTTGTCGATCTCGAGGCCATGCCCCGGAGCTGGCTTGCTGTCCTCTTCTGAGCTGCTGCGTGTCTTCTTGTCGAGCTGATGGTCGCCGTCTACTGCCGCTGGTAGCTGGGATGTCGAGCTGAAGTGTCGAGCTACCCTGTGTGTGTCGTGTTGCTGTTTATATCCAAAGACGGTTGGGAGGCTCCTTCCCTATGGGATACAGCTTATCTTGGTTGTGTAAGTTTGACCTCTTTCGCCTCATCCCTTCTCGATAACCCTCGGTTTGATACTGCATAAATATTATTTGGTTTATGTTTCCTAAGATTTGTGATTTAACCTTGTCATCACCACCTATTTTTTTTTAGGGTTTATTAATTTCGTCCCCCCATCTGTATCTGGGGATCGGTGCTGTTATGCCAGAGCAATTCTTTGATGTCCTGAGTTTTAGAGGTATAACTAAGCTTCGGTTAAGCTTCTTGGCTGCTGGAATTCATTTATTTGGTTTTTGTAAAGTCACGTAAACGGCAAGATGTAGTGTAATTTAAGGTGAATAACGTTAGTATCAATATTATGTATGTGAGAAGCTGGGGGTGTGTGGATGCTGAGACGCTGGGGGTGTGGGTGCTGAGACACTTGGGGTGTGTGGGTACTGAGACACTGGGTGTGTGGATGCTGAGACGCTGGGTGTGTGGGTGCTGAGACTGGGTGTGTGGGTACTGAGACTCTGGGTGTGTGGGTGCCGAGACTCTGGGTGTGTGGGTGCTGAGACGCTGGGGGTGTGTGGGTGCTGAGACTCTGGGTGTGTGGGTGCCGAGACTCTGGGTGTGTGGGCGCTGAGACTCTGGGTGTGTGGGTGCTGAGACGCTGGGGGTGTGGGTGCTGAGACTCTGGGGGTGTGCGTGCAGGGAGGACAACGAGGTGCGGGTGCTGGCCGAGTCTCCCCAAGGCCGGGACTCCCTGCCAGCAGCAGCAGCAGCGGTCGCCGACCGGCCAGCCTCCCTGGCCCCGCTGCGCCGGAAGACGGTGCACACGGTACGGGCTCACGGTCGTGCGGGACGACGATTCGCGAGGCTCTCCCCTTTTCCACTGGCGTGTCCGAGCTGAGGCAGTGCGGGGCCCTCACGGTACCGGTGGTTTTCAACCGACCATTTGCTGTGCAGGGCCGGATCCGAACCCCGAGACTCTGGGCTGACGACGCATCCGAGTCTGACTGGGCGGGGGCTCGGCAGGGCAAGGGCTCTGCCAGTGACGCGTTCATCGCGTGCGGCGTTAGCGGCACCGCCCGGCTCTCTGCGGTGGAAAAAAACAACCTGGCGCCTCGTGAGCCGCTTCAGGATGACTCGGTGGAAGTTCCGTATTTGTGTTGGCCGTGGAGAGTGTGACGACCGCTGTCACTATCCCACAAAGCAACGGTCATTTAATTGACCCCCGAAGGATGCTGGGCTGGGTTGAGTTGGGGCCTGTGAAGGTGCAGGCAACAGGGACTGTGCACTCTGTGCCGTCAAACCGGCTTGCACCGGCTCGTCGATGTGAGCCCTCATAGGCAGCACTTGCTGCAAAAGTCTACAACACTGCATAGGGGACATTTGTCTTTCTATATAAGCTCTAGAGGTGTAAATCTGTTGGTAAGAATGAGTATTAGCTCTCCTACTTCCTCAACGAGATTTTCGACGTGCACTGTCTGTTGCGTGAAATGTATCTGCCCTCTCTTTGGCAATGTTGAAGTTTTGTTCTCTTCCACCAGCCTGTGATCACGTCCTGTGTTGAATTTGCGGAGACCTCTGAGGTTTGTCCTTGGGAATGAAGTAATTTTAATTTCTGTCTCCATTTGAGAGCATCCATGTCCATTGTCTCGACTCATTGTTACAGAGGTGGTCATTATCTTCCTGTCCCTGCTGGCTGCAAACTCTTCATGGACACAGTCTTGTTTGCCGCTGTGATGCAAACATTTACCCGTCGTCCTCTCATCTCCGATCGTAGAGGCCGGTTAATTCCTTCACACGTTAGGTCTGCTCGTAATATCATCGTCGTCGTCGTCACTTGTGTCGTCGGGGCGTACGTCTGAATCACTTTGACACCCGGTAAAGTCGTCACGATGGCCGTCGCCGCGAGTCGCGTCCCGACGGCCCTCGTGAACCCGCCGCGCGCCCTGCCCCGTCCACCCCCCCCCCACCCCGCCTCGTGTCCCAGGCCTGTTCGAGGGCTGGGGGGCTCGCACGAAGCTGTGTTGGGTGCCGCGCCACTTGCAGCCCGTGCCCATCGCTTTCGAGGCGCTGCCGGAGGCGGCCGTGCTGTCGTGGGAGGTGCGACTGCGGGCGCTGTGCCGGCGCGCCGGCCTCGGCGACGCGACCTTCGAGCTGCACGCCCATTCGGAGTGCGGGATACCCGTGGGCCTCCTCTATAAGGTGCTCGCCGTCGTCGCCGCTTCGTTTCCCGCCGCACGTCCCGTTGCCCCGTGGCAGTCTGGCCGGAGCGGACCCCCCCCCCCCCCCCCCCCGGTGGCGGCTGTCCCTGTGCGGCGCGAAGAGTAAGCGGAACCGACCAGCTGGGGGCGATGTTGCCAAATAAGTAATTTGAGAGCGACGTTATAAAATGTTGACCGTGACGCCGGCAAGCGTCGCCCACTCTTTGAAGTCCGCCGTGAGTCAGACGGCGCTTGTTTTACGGTCAAGCACGCCCGGTCGCAAGTCAAACCCCTCCGTCGCGCTCACGCACCCATCCACCCGTGCCGACTCGCCGCACGTGTGCGCCCGGTGCGGTCACATTCACAAGCCAGCGCAGCAGCGCCGTCTGGGTGTGAGCTTTAGTACATGAATGATCAGGATGTAAAAATGCACCGATTCGTTTGTTAAAATCGTTCAAAGGCGTGTTCGGGCTGTGCGCTGGTGTTGTATCTGTGGGTCAGCATCGGGGCCAGTGTAGTGGCAGTGTTTAAAAGTGCACTTTGAAGCTGGGGTCTTTACTCCAAAGTTGTGTCTTGCCGATGAGGAGTGCTTCACTCTTGGCTACAGCTTAAGGGAGTTATAACCAACGAGCAGACGAGACCACGTCGATTCAGAATGTCACAGCAGCAGTCTCGAGAGCTGAGGGAACGCTGCTGGATGAGATGGAGGCAATGACGAAACTGGTGATGCAGGCGCCAGGATGAGTTGTCGGTGAGGGAGGAGTTTGGTGGGCAGAGGATTGAGGGTGGAAGTCTTTTTTTGGGGTGGAGATAATTGTAGTGATATCGTTGATGGTGATGCGCTGAGGGATGTGAAGGTGGTGGGGAGACAGGGCAGGGTATAGGAGGCTGAGACACCAGCTTGCCATTCCTGGTGTCTGTGCTCTTCCAGAGGTACGGGAGACAGGTTGCCGACACTTGGCAAGTGCCGGTAGCGCGCGACTCCGCTCGCGAAGCGAGTTCCCTGACGCGCGTCTCTCTCACCGCCGCCTCCACGGTGCAGGTTTCCATTTGCGGGATTGGAGAAGGCGGCTTCTTCCCCGAACTTCTGAGCACCAGCGAGGTGGGAGCGCGGGAGGTGGCGAGTCGGCACGTCTACAACATCCTCAGTAAGAGCTCCACGCCCGCCACACGCTCCCCCGTGCTGCCCGTCCGGCTCTCCTTGGTCTCGTCTTCACCGTTTCATTTGTTCCCGAGCCTCGGCGGCGCCCCCCGTCGGGCGATCGAAAACGTCCGTGGTGCCGAGCGGTGCTCCGGAGCCGCCTCCCACCTCACCTGTTGCCTCCCACCTCACCTGTTGCCACCCCCGTGTGCGTCGTGCAGGCAAGGTGATGCTGCCTTCCAGCTGCCTCCTCCAGGGCTCATCAGCGTACCCGCCTCGTTTTCCATGACCCCGCAGTGGCTCACCCCACGTACAGCTGACTTCACGTTGCTCCTCACTGCACCACGCACCGCTCCCGCGATTTTTTTTCCCACAATTCACATTTTTGAAAGCACTCGATGGCAAAACTAGCAGATAGTTTAATGCACGTTGTCATTTCTACTAATATTACTGTTTTAAAAGTTTTACGCACTCACGTCTCACGTTTGCATTTTAAGGAGCGTTTGAAAATATAAACACTTTAAAAAATGGTTTACAGTACATTAGTACTTTGCAAATTTTTCACATCGTGTTCTGATTTGCTGTAATTGTTTTAAAAACGTATTGGAAATAAAAGTCCCAAAAGTCGACCTGTTTATGTGTGCGGTAACAGTTGTAGTCTGGCGTCCTTCACACTTTGGTAACAACCTCATCCTAGTCCATACACACTCCTATTCATTTGCTGGCCATCTGGCTTCCTAGCTGCCGCACGAGCTGGCGCAGCGGTGTCATCACTGTGCACGTCTGCACGATGAACGGCACCCGCATCCCGTAGTGGCGTTGAGCTCATATCCCACCCACCCATCGTTACGTATGAAAAAAAATATACACACATACAAACCAAGACAAACGCCATTATCGCTGACCACACTTGGCCATCTCTTCCGGTGAATTGTGTAGTGACAAAGTCGACGACGCCCGACCTCCAAATTCCCCACTCTGTCAACGTATCGTCGCCACCATCTGGTTGCGTCTTCCCCTTGTTGCACGTTTGTCGCTGCCCTCAAGGAATAACCCACGGGATTCTACCCTGCGTAGAGAGTGCAGGGGGCCAGGCGGTTGACCGTGTCGAGCTGCGAATGGCCCTCAAGGAATAACCCACGGGATTCTACCCTGCGTGGAGAGTGCAGGGGGCCAGGCGGTTGACCGTGTCGAGCTGCGAATGGTGCAGAACGCAGAGGGACGTTTTGCCGAGGCGCATGGGACGCCGATTAGTCAGCAAACTCCGCTTGTTTCCGAGTAAGGTCCCGATGCAATTCATCGCCGCTTCTAAACTAAACTGCAGTCTTATCTTGCAGGTAAGGCCCACTGAGCTGTACAGCTCTTTTTTTAAAAGCGACCCTGGCCACAAATGATAGCGAAGTGGCTTATGTGGAACTTTATAACGGCTGAATACTCTTAAACGCACGTTTCTAAACGTGGAGGGAAAAAACCGTAAGACCTGGAGAAACGTCCACGCGACCACGGGTAGAACACGCAAACTTCAAATGTGTCGGGGTCGGCATCGAACCCACAAGCTTGTACACCAGGGTTGGTAGTGAACGTCTCGCCACCGTGGCGGCCCCTGCGGTGGACTTCAGCCCTGCGCCGCTTGGGCTCCTCCTGAGCAATGCGAAGCGTGCCCTGGGCAGGATTCTGTCACCGATTGGGGCTGCGCGTCTCTCCCAGCCGGGGTTCTCCCCCAACATCACAAACCAAAAGGCACGTGTGTGTGCGCGTGTTTTTTTTAGTGCTGCCCCCCAAAACTGGAGCCCTGCCTCTGGGGGTGCCGTTACCAAGGGGTCTGCGTGGAGTTCCACCGCCGTTGCCAAGACCTTTCTCATCGAGCCTTCCGATTACCTCAATCTGCCCCGTTCTTTCCCACTCCTGTCTGATCTTTTTGCAGCAGTATGCAGATGTCCAAAATGCACCAATTGGCATGTCCGACTCGACGGTCTAATCACTGTGAACCATCTTCTTTGGTTCTTTCGGTAAAGTCACGTAGAATGAGAATAAAATAATAAATTGATAAAATAAAATAACAATATTCTCACTTTTGATTTAAAGCTTTTGTGACTGCAGTAATTCATATTCTTAGTTTTTTCGGTAAAGTCACGTTGAAGAGAAACAACAAAATAACAAAATATATATAAAACAATAAAAAAATTTCTCACGACGTTTCGACCATAACTCAAACGGTCATCATCAGGTGTGTCGGTTTGCATAAATGTATTTTGAAAACGGCATATTTATTTATTTATATAAAAAATAACGTTTGCGTCACGCGCAACGATGGCAGTTTGCCAGGACTAGTCCATCTATTTTTTGAAAAGAGGAGGGGGGAGACGAAATTTGTTTTTATGTATGCTGTCTGAAAGGCACTGTAAGCGTGAACAATCAATCAAGAACTGAAATGATTTATCAAATCTTTCCAATGATTGCTAAGATAGAATCCATCTTCTCGGTTGAAATTGTCTCTGTGTTTGTATATGTGGATAGCCTCATGAACGAATCTCTCATGGAAGCCAGATGGCTTACAAAGAACCTCCGTCTTGGAAAAGTCAATGGCATGTGAGCCTACTGAATTAGAACAATGATCTGCTACGGCCGAGGTGTTGGTCCTACCGTGTTTAAGGTCTGCTTTATGTTCACGAATGCGGTCCGAGATATGGCGTTTGGTTTCTCCAATGTAACTACTACCACAGAGGCAACTTAGTTTGTAGACACCAGGGTATTGTATGTCCGGAATCACATCTTTTACAGACGGAACCAGATCACGGATTTTATGTAATGTGTTGAAACGGACCTGGATCTTGTGTTTATTCAAGATTTTGGAGATCTTTTTTGTGATCCCAGCAATGTAGGGTAAAGTGATGGTTTTGAAAGGCTCCTCAAGAGGGTTCTTCTTCATGGTTTGAGTGATAGCTTTGCGGATTGTATAGTCGGAGTAACCATTAGCCCTAAGAGCTTGGTGTACGTGCTTGAGTTCACTGCTTATGTGTTCCTGGTCGGATATGCATTGGGCTCTATGATACAGAGTCTTGATGAGAGAATTCTTCTGTGATGGATGGTGGTGGGAATCCGGTTTCAGATAAGCATCCGTATGGGTAGCTTTCCTGTAGACAGAGTGGCTCATTGAACCATCAGGTCTCTTTTTAATTAGGACATCCAAAAAAGGTATCTTGCCATCTATTTCGACTTCCATGGTAAATCTGATGGCTGGGTGTATGGAATTGATGTGGTCGAAGAATTGGTCTAGAGCAGGCCGGCCATGTGGCCAGATGACAAAAGTGTCATCCACGTACCTCTTCCATAAGGTTGGGCGCAGAGTGGCAGTCTGGATGGCGTCAGTCTCAAATTTCTCCATGAAAATGTTAGCTATAACTGGAGAAAGGGGGGAGCCCATTGGGGTGCCCTCAGTTTGTTTGTAGAAAGTTCCATTCCAAGTGAAGTATGTATTGGTTAAACAGTGTCTCACCAGGGGGGGTACCTCAGTGTTTAGTCCTTGATGAACCAAGTCTTCAATGATTGCAATGGTGTCAGGTACAGGAACCTTGGTGAATAAGGAAACTACATCAAAACTGACAAGCAGGTCGTCTGGGGACAGGGAAATACCCTTGATTGTTGATACCAGGTGAGTAGAATTTTGTACCGCAGAGGTGGTCTTTCCAGTGAAAGGACGCAGGATTTCAGACAAAAAACGAGCTAGTTTGTAGGTGGGGGAGCTGATAGTAGAGACTATGGGACGAAGAGGTGTATCAACTTTATGTATTTTTGGTAAGCCGTATAATCTTGGTGGCCTGGCAGCAGAAGGTTTCAACGAAAACTGTTTAGATTGATCAATTAATGCGGTTGAATCAGAAATTATTTTGTTGGTTTGTGTGACGAGGCTGTTGGTGGGATCTCTTTTTATTTTTGTATAACTACCATCGTCGAGTAATTCTTTAATTTTGTTGTTGTATTCTATTTTATCCATGATAACAGTAGCATTGCCTTTGTCAGCTGAGAGAACTACAATATCATTCCTCTTTTTTTTAATTTATATAATTCAAAACGCTCATCTTTGCTGAGGTTGCTAGCTGGCATCTTAGCGTTTTTGAGGGTTGCAGCGATTTCAGATCTTGCTACGTCTGCAGCGATGTGACCCAGGCCCCTGAGAGCAACGTCTACTTGGGCAATTATATCATTAACTGGTATGTGTTTAGGTGTGACTGCAAAGTTTAGACCTTTAGCTAAAACGGATTTCAGACCATCGGAAATAGAACTGTTACTGCGATTAATTACGACTTTATTAACGTCTAACTTTTTGGTGTGTGGGTCCGGTCTTTTGTTGAAGAGGAGGTTAAATTTGGAAATCAGGTTTTCCTTACATTTGGTCGACATAGTAGCAGCTGAAGAGGCAGTCATATTGTCTACATGTTCCCAATCCGATGTGGACATTATTGCCGTCAATGATAAGTGTGATTTGTAGAGTGTCTTGTCTAACTGATCTAGTTCTGTGCGTATAAGTCTGATTTTTTCTGAGATAAGAGCTAAGCTAGTTTTGAAAAGAATTCGTTTCGCATTAGAAGAAGTTACAGTAGCAGAGGTGAGTGTAAATGCGATTGGTATTACCCCAGAGTCGCGGCATCTCTTCAGGAAGGTGAGAGACTCGATCAGCTGAGCTTTCTTATCCCGGAGTTTGTTGAAGGATCTTAAAGTTATGTGAAAACCCTCCCCGTAGAGGCGATTAAATTTTGATTTAAAGCTTTCGTGACTGCAGTAATTCATATTCTTAGTTTTTTCGGTAAAGTCACGTTGAAGAGAAACAACAAAATAACAAAATATATATGGTCGAAACGTCGTGAGAAATTTTTTTATTGTTTTATATATATTTTGTTATTTTGTTGTTTCTCTTCAACGTGACTTTACCGAAAAAACTAAGAATATGAATTACTGCAGTCACGAAAGCTTTAAATCAAAATTTAATCGCCTCTACGGGGAGGGTTTTCACATAACTTTAAGATCCTTCAACAAACTCCGGGATAAGAAAGCTCAGCTGATCGAGTCTCTCACCTTCCTGAAGAGATGCCGCGACTCTGGGGTAATACCAATCGCATTTACACTCACCTCTGCTACTGTAACTTCTTCTAATGCGAAACGAATTCTTTTCAAAACTAGCTTAGCTCTTATCTCAGAAAAAATCAGACTTATACGCACAGAACTAGATCAGTTAGACAAGACACTCTACAAATCACACTTATCATTGACGGCAATAATGTCCACATCGGATTGGGAACATGTAGACAATATGACTGCCTCTTCAGCTGCTACTATGTCGACCAAATGTAAGGAAAACCTGATTTCCAAATTTAACCTCCTCTTCAACAAAAGACCGGACCCACACACCAAAAAGTTAGACGTTAATAAAGTCGTAATTAATCGCAGTAACAGTTCTATTTCCGATGGTCTGAAATCCGTTTTAGCTAAAGGTCTAAACTTTGCAGTCACACCTAAACACATACCAGTTAATGATATAATTGCCCAAGTAGACGTTGCTCTCAGGGGCCTGGGTCACATCGCTGCAGACGTAGCAAGATCTGAAATCGCTGCAACCCTC